CAGGGTTGGAGGTAGCGGGGCTGTCCTACAAAACTTACCTCATTAGAAAAATACCGGACATTTTATATGTCCGGTATTTTCTCAATTTGTTTCCCGGACAGAAGCCTCAAATACCGGACTGGATACAAAACTGGATACCTGGCAACCCTACCCCTCCTTGCACCCTGCCTCCTAGCCAGATACCCTACCCCCAATCTGCTCCTGCTCCCCCCCACCTGGAGTGCCCATGTGGTGCCGGGTCCCCCTGGCCCAGGCTGGGCGGAGGATGCAGCCGGGTGGAACACTGAAAATGTATCCATTTTTCATTCTTTTTTTATTTGCGTTTATATTTTTGGGCTGCAAAAAACAGTTCTGAAAAAAACAGGTTCCAACTAAAGTAAAAAGTTTGGGAAACCCTGATGTAACCAGCTTTCTATCCATCTTACAGTCCATTTATCCAATCTATATTCCCTTAACTTGCTGGTAAGAATATTGTGGGTAACTGTGTCAAAAGCTTTGTTAACACTCGTACTGGGGGCTTTGGGAGGACCAGAAACAACTTAGCTGAATATTTATCATTTGCTTAATGAATATGCAAATATGCAAATGACTGTTACCGGTCCTCCAAAAGCTCGTGAATGGATTTACTGGTCCCCGTGTCAAAAAGTTTGGGAACCCCTGTTCTAGTCTAATCTGACTTTCTGCACAACACAGACCATAGGATTACTCCAAAATAATTGCGAGAGACGATGTTTTAGAAAAGCATCCAATCTTGGTTTTAAAATTGTCAGTGGTGATGGGGAAGCCACTATGATTCTTGGTAAATTGCTCCCATGGTTAAAATATGCGCCTTATTTCCAGTCTGAATTTGCCTAGCTTCAATTTAGATTGCGTTAGATCAGTGGTCCCCAATGCGGTGCCCGCGGGCGCCATGGTGCCCGCCGGGGTATTTGTGTGCGCCCGCTGACAACCTGGGCCGCCCCGGCGTGTGGCACAATGGAGGTGCTGGCCCCAGGTGTGTGACACACACCGGCGCCTAGTGCGCGGCGCTCAGGCGGCCCCAGTCCCGGGACACGTGGGCGCGCGGCGCCGGCCCCAGGTGCGC